TTGTCATAGGGGTAGGCAAGAAACTCTCCTTTGAAGGTGTGCGGGAAGAGCATTAAGAGAGGAAATTTTGAGGTTGCCAACTCGTCGTTGATTGATTTTTCATCACGTTTTCTCTATACATATTCGATATTTTTCTCCTAATGTGTGTTTGATGGCAAGAAACTCGTTTCATTGATACCGCCAACGGATTCTTGACAGAAAATTCCCTCACCATTGGGTTAATTTCTGTATTTCTCTCTGATTTGTCAGTAAGCTTTGAAAGATCGAAAAAAAAGAGTGGAAATTGCGAACACGTGGGTTGTTGAAGGTTGGGGAAGACGGGAACAGTTGTTTGTCATAAGATTGAAGGGGAAAAGGAGTTCGAAAGCGTGATAATCACCGATATAAACGCTATGGATGGGTAAAATGTCTAAAATCACCGAAGAAGCCATTCAAAATGATGAAGCACGAATACTTTTTCGAAGCCAGCGATGATTTTTTTCACGAAATTCACATTTGTTCTCGATCGTATATGAACTCTTCAATAGATCATCTTTAAATTCGATAATTCTGCTCTATGGAGTATTGCTCGTCCTTCTTGAGTGTTTCTTTTGAATTTAAGTTTATTGCTGAAGGCAATTCTTGCACCGTATTCATTACTAATCAGCAAGCACTTCACATATCCATTTGTGAAATATTATTGTATTGTAAAATAAATGAAGAGATGTTTTTAAAGCACAACAAATGTTTGCCGTTGAAACATTAGCCTTGCAGTGCCATTGAAATAAATATTTGTATAGACATATAAATACGAATAAATGACGATGGAATATGATGTTTAGAGTTTGATGAGATTTGAAATTTGAACGAGTTGAGGATGAATGTTTTCAAAATCACACAGTAATTTGATGGACTGACTGCTTGAAAATGAATGAGGCAAATGAAATTAAATTGAAGACGGCTATACGACAGCAACAATACACTATCACTGGTGCTCTGTAAAGCAACCGGACTGTGCTCGAGCGGTTCACGTCGACCACGAAATCGAGCTACCCAGCTATCGTTTCGCTCATTTATGCGTCAATCGTACTATCGCCACTACTTCATCAGGTTCCCACTCACTCTCATTTTCGCTAATTCATTCAATCCGGAATGCTTCCACTTATCATTTTTTGCCTTCGATGAACTGCCCCATATTCAGCATGACAATCGTCAACCATTCTCTGCACCATCCTGTCGTCATCCAGTAATTTTGGGATGATTTTGAAGTGTTAGTTAAAAATCGCTTCTTAGAGATGCACTGAATAACTGCATCTGAATCTAGCGATAGTGTTGGCCTGAACTCATTCAGGATCGTACTCTCGGCTTTGGGTTCAATTTTCGTTCGAACGGCAAAGTGGTTCCTACATGCTACAAATCTTCGTGCCCGCCACACTTGTCGTTTTCATCAGTTGGGTCTCGTTTTGGATCAATCCAGACTCGGCACCGTCGCGTACCGTGATCGGAACAATGACCATCCTCTCAGAGACGCACCTTCTTACTGGTACGAACAGAAGGCTGCCTCCTGTGTCCTATATAAAGGTTCATATTATGCACGTATACTGCCCTGTCGTTTCAATTACAAACAAAACACTCAGCGCTTTCGCTGTCGAACAATTTAGACGATTTGGAAAATCAGCAAAGCGATGAAAAACTTTCTTGCTTGGTTGTTAGGATGTGTTACGAAACAGCGTTACCTATGCAAATATCGATGAGTAGTTTGCCGTTTTGTGTTGCTTCCACCCTTCGTTTTTTCATCCTTTGAAATTTCGTTGGTTTGTCAAGTTTGGAAGAGTTCAATTAATGATTTTGAGTGAATGATGAAATTTGTTGAAATATTGCGTTGCTTTTAAGGATTTCGAATAGATGGAAACGCATCTCATCAGAACGGTAATGAGTTGTTCTTTGAAGAGTATTGTTCTATCTTATGCACTGGTTTCCCTAGCTGAACTCTCAGCAAACTGGTCTCATAGCCTTTTGATAGAACCCGTTATGCAGTCAAATTTGCACGGTCCATATTACGTAGGCCATCTGAAAACTAAACTTGGAATAGTCGACTTGGACGAGTAGATGAGTTGAAGCGTATGCGTAAAGCTAATGACGATCATAGACCTGAATTGAAGACTTAGCCAGAGACTGAACTGAAGCCTGGACTCAAGTCAATCTAGCGTTTTGAGTTGTTCACTCTTTTCGATAATCTTATTATAGCACGCGCATCTTCTTCGTTCTCGATTGATCAAATTTCCCGAAAATTAATTGACAAAACTGACTGTGAGGAGTGTT